GAGCTCAAGCCAGAGCTCCCTGTTCAGCCAGCCTGGTCTGCTTCCCCGCCGGCTCATTTTCCGCCACACGTGGACGGCCTGTTTCTGCGCCTTTAAGAGTTCCTTCTTGAAGAGTGACCAGCCTTCCTGGACTCCTTTGCCTTTCAGAACTGCCTCCCAAGGAATTCCCAAAGAATTCTGCCAACCAAATTGACTCTGATCTTCTTTGATTGCAATGGGAACTTAGACACTTAGCTGACATGCACTCTTGTATTTACATGCTTATTGTTGAGCTGAGACACATCACCAGTAATTACTAGTGCAACATCTCATTAGGCTCATTACAAAGCAGTTTCTATTGTTGCACCTTCACTTTATGAAAAGTCTAGCCTTAATTTTTTTATATGTAAGCTAGTCATTTCTTGGTTACTGAAACTCTTTCAGCTGCTAAGAGAATCTGCAAACTAGGTACATAGGATTTCACTTACAGATGTGACAGCTTTGCTAGCTGTTTGTTTAAACATTCTTCATGGTCTTCTGAGGTGAAGGAGCAATAGCCCATGTCAAGTGACTCCAGTTTAGGCCACTTTCTTATACAAAATGAAAGAACTATTTGATCTAATTGGGTGAAATTCATGTGTCGCAGATATATTCCAGTGAAATAACCCAATGCAGTTTTCACAAAACTGTCATCTTGGATTTCATACAAACAGTGGCAAGCCTCCAAATCATGAATCACTGCTCTTTTCTCTGCATGAACAGCTAAAGCTGTTTTTTGGCTCGTTTGAAGCCACATTAGTAATTCTTCCTTAATTTCAGGAGAAATTTTGCACCCTGTTTCTTCTTGCAAAGCATTTCTTTGTTGCTCATTCAAGAGACCAAATAGGAACCGCACAGTTAACATGAAATCAGGTCTTGAGTTTCCATAGTTTTCTAACAGGTTTTTCACATCCCTTTTAGGATCTTCTTGCTTATGTCCTGTTTCAGCGTCATCTTCTAATACATAGAATAGAGATGCAAAAAACTCTTGGACACTCAGGTGAATGAAACTGTAGGCACTCCCACAGACAATGCCCTTCTGAAAAGTGCTCTCATTCAAAAAAAGTGGGAGAGTGTCTCTCTGACTTAACAAGAATTCATTTATCTCCTCCTCCTCAAAGAGGACTTTCTGCTTCCAGATCCCATCAGCAGCCAGGCAACAAAGTCTTTTCAGGATAATGTGAAAGTTCTGTTTCAACTTGAAGCTCAGAGATTTTAGTAAGCTGGAAACATAAAGGATGTATATTCCTGTAGTTGTCTTGGCAGTTTGTGCAAGATCTTCACCTCTTTCAATCTGTTGCTTCATAACAGTGCAGACAATCCAGCACATGATAGGGACAAGGCACATGGTGAAGACCATTTCATTTCCTTTAACAAACTGAAAGACCTTCCTTCCCACTTCCTTATTTTCAAAAAATTTGTGGAAATATTCCTCCCTATCAGCTGCAGAAAATCCCAGTATTTCAGCAAAGCGTTCGCATATGAAGCACTTTTCCAGCTTCTGCAGGACAGCTGGTCTTGTTGTGATCAACAGGGAGCATTCAGGGAGAAGGATTTTCTTAAGTAAACTGCTCAGGATGATTTCCACTGGCTTCATCTCCCAGGGATCAGAACACATGTCATTTTGTGGCCTGTCCAAAGAAAACCTCAGTTCATCAAAGCCATCGATGACAAACAGGAGTTTTTCTGGTCTCCTCAAGATCTCTACAAGAGGTGGATTATCACTGGGACAGCATTTGGAGATCATGTCAGCCATACTCCCCTGAGCTGTAAGATTACCCTCCCGACAATGTATGTAGAAAACATAGTCAAAATGTCCATAGAGTCCTTCTGATGCCCAGTCCAGTATGATCTTTCTTACTGTCATTGTCTTCCCAATTCCTGCAGCTCCCAATATCACAACAGTCATTGGTGTCTGTCTATCCCTGTCAGGTTTAAAAAGATCACTTATAGCAATGGAAGAATTCACTTGTTCCTGCATGATATCTTCATGTCTGCGTCCCACAGCCATGATTTCATGTTCTTTCTTTTTCTCATGGCGATGTCCACTAACAAGAACCAGCCTTGTATATCTGGAGTTCAGAGTCACTGTCTCACCAATACGAGCATTCATGTCTTTTATCCAGTAGTAATTTTTTTGTACATGTTCTCTGTACTTCATCTTGTAATCTAAATCAAGGATATGCAATAAAAGAATTTGAAATTAAAGTCAATGTTCATTTTCCTGCTAAAATAAAAACACTTTGGCTGAAAAATTATTGTACCCATTGTACCTAATCTCTTTCATATTAAAGGATCTCTGGATTATTCAATAGTCCTTGTTCTACCAATTCTATTATTGATGCTGAGATGAAAAAAAGTCTGAAATGCTCCAACACTGAATTTCAGTCACACCTCAGTTGAACTTGAAAATACTGCTAAGAACCAGTTTCTACTACTGACCTCTATAGCACTACACTTTCCCCCCCCCACAGACATATAACAGCTACTTGCTTATTTTCCTACTGATCCTACTGGGGCTTCAGGGCTGTGGCTACCACCATACACTTTCTACTAGAAGATGGAGTGTGTAGGTGACAAAACCCAAACATATCTATCCCAACAACACGTACCTTGGACTAATGAATCAGGGGGTGGACTGGGCCTCAGAGCTGAAAGAGAAATTATATGTAGCTGTTAGTGGAGTAGTACTACAGAGACTGTCAGTGATGTGTGACAGACTGAGAGCAGAACAGTCATCTTGGTATCTCTGCCTTTAGAAACTCCTCTAAAACAGACAGTAGAGCAAGTGCCTCTGGACACCCTAGTGTCTACACATCATAGGCCAGGAGCAGGTGGTCCTGCAGAGTGTACAGAGATTGTGGCAGCAGTCACCTAAATAAGCAGGAAGAGCAACGGCAAGAGGAGAGTCATGCAATTCCAGGCATAAGGAGGCAGCACCCTGTGGTCCTTAGGGTTTTCAGACTTCCACAGGGGATTGAAATCTACTGTCTCTCTATTTGATGAAGGTTGTCCTACATATTTTCTAGGAACAATCAAAAAGAAGGATCCAAAGTGCCAGTAACCAAGTTCCTTTACCTTTTTGTTTCTCCTGTTTGAGTTTAGCTGCAGTGTCTCTTTGGCTGATCCGTTCAAGCACATGGATAGTTACATCCACAGCAAGATCGGCTCCATAATGGTCACACATGTAGTCTGCAAGTCTAACTGGATCATTGGCTTTCTTGAGCAAATACTTGGAGAGATTTGCTATCTCATCATAATCAATATATGATAATTTATACTTAAACTTCTCAAACATATCCAGTGTAAGGTCCTCCAGTGCTCTCAAAAGGAAGTCCTTGGTATTCTCTCTTGCCATCGTAGTATGGTAAAGATATCCTGGAAAACAGTAGAAGGTCAACAACAAATTGTTGTCTGAGAGCCACCAGGCACACCCTGGAAAGAAACTCATTGACTGTTACTGGGCAGCGGCTGCGATCTCTGCTCTTCGACCCAATCCCGACACCACCAGAGGCACTGCTAGCTCTCCCGTGTCAATTCTTCTAGCAATTTGTTAGTCCACAGAGCCCAAATCACTACACTTCTCATTTTACCCATAGTGCTTCCCTGCTTCCAGCTCTTCACTTTCTTGGCTGCAGGTGCAGAAGGGTGAAATGCTCGTATGTCAGGGTGGCAAACAGGGCTTTACTCATGCAACTTGGGCACAAAGTGTATACCTCAGCCATTCCTTTTTGAGTGGTTGCCAAAACCCTAGGAGGAGTTTCCACATGCAGTGAGAAAGGGGCTGATTGAAACGTGGAATATGGCCTGTGCCTGGACTACAGACATGCTTTCCAAAGAGGATATTCCTTCACCCTTTTTTGTGTACGGCTTCATTTCAATGGCAAACTGTGAAGGCTCAAGGATTCACTAGGGTAAGGTTAAGTATGGCGATGTCATTTCACACTTGCACAGCAAACATGTTCAACCAAACACGTTTAACCAAACACTGAGAGTGATGATACAGCACTATACTGGAGAAAAAGGAGTCATCCCCACCATCAGTTCTGTATACACTACTCTTCAACCTCCACTTACACTAGTTTTGGAGTTACTTTCTGTTGGCTGGACACATTCTGTGTGACAACTATGGGTGAACTCAGTCCCATACAGTCCAACTCTGTTGAATAAATGTCATACAACCATTGAAGCATCCATTGGGTCTATTGAGAGCTGCGAGGGCCTTTATTATGTTATATTGCCTTCTGATAACATTACTGATGGCTTAATTTTCACCCTAAGGATCATCTGTTTTGAAACCCTACTGCTTTTTTTTCTCTTATGACTATATTTTGCAAATACTTTCTTTACTGTTCCTGAAAACTTGCAGGTACACACAAGTATATTTTCACTGCTTTATATTCCTTCAAAACTATAAATGAAAACATTTTTAGTCTTTTATGAGATAATTTTGTAAATCTCTGTAATCTTTTTTATGAGATAAACTGGATAAAAGCGTATAAATGGACATTATTTAGAGTATAAAAATATGGTTTTGGCTTGTGACAATCTTCTGTGAGGTTCTTCAAAACTATTCATTAATTATAGAGGAGGAAAAAGAGGATCTATTTCTTGCGGCAGGGGGGTGGGGTAAGAGGCTTAGTTCCTTATATAAATGAAACAGAAATATCCCTTGCAGAAAACATCTATGAGAAGTTGTGGTCAAAATCTGACTTTAGGTGCCTAAATACAGGAAAAATGAAAAGAAAAACCAACCCCAAAACTCCTAAGTTGGGGAATGGGTCCAAAGAATTTATTAGGATGGCTGAATATTCTGTAAAATGCCTTTTAGAGTTTGCAGAACTGAAGAAGAGAAAATGTGATTGTATTTGTATTTTTCTCCAGTCAAAGTAGACATGCCTACTAAGGCAACTCTGTAAAGTAGAACTCATCATAACTAAAGCAATTTATTTGAAGTTTCTACTGAAAGAACTTGAACGGACCTAAGAAAAATGAGGGGATTTTCTTTTAATTATTTTTCTACAAATCCTCTGCCTGTCAAGCAGATCCGAAGCCTTACACATAGCTTCATAGTGCCCCTATGTTTGCTTCAAATAAAAGAAAGGAAGAGTCTGATACTTTATCTCACCACAAGGCAAATAATATTTGAAACAAATACTAGCATTGCTAGGAGCAGAAAGAAGGATAATGTATTTCTAAAGAGGACATGTTGCTAACAGCACTCTCTCCAGCACAGTTTCAATGACCTGAGAGATGAGGAAGTTCTCCATCCTCTCTCTCCCCAGCCATACCACTGAGCAGAGCATTTCTGCTGTCATACACACAGCCAGGAAACAAGTAAGCAATTTACAAGTCTGACCCAGAGCACAGGGGCTGGATGCTGCTTCTCCTCAGCTGATCTAACAGCAAGAAGTCCCCATGAGGGTAGTCCTCCTCTTTGTATCCCTCCATGCTGACTGAGCACTCTCAAGGCTCCTGATCTGACTGAAAATACTTTCTCCAGGAAAAGGTGGCCTTTCACAGTTCAAATACTCTTAGTCCTTTCCACAGACTTTCCAACAGGCCTCCATAAACTGACTCATTTATCATAGACCTGAAGTCAAACAAGAAATAGGCAGGGAAAGACTCTGGAACCAATGTATCATGACCAATTCTACAGAGAGAGATGTCTCTGGACGTGAAACCTTATGTCTTGACCTAGCCAGACAACATTAAATCTCACACCCCTACTCCACATGGCAGACAAAGATAAACATCACGGTCAGGCTGAGCAGCTTTGCAGGGGATAGAACACTCATTTGTCACCCTGGGCTCAACATTACAGGTCCCTCAAGCAGACCTGCTCCAGGGCAGTTTCAATTCCTCCATAACATGTTCTCAACAAGACCAACTCCTTAACCACTCTGGCTAGGCAGGAAAGACAGAAATCCAGAGCCAGGAACACAACAAAAGTCAAATGCTCATGGTCAGACATCTGGGTGAAGGACAGGACTCACGACCCTTTTCTACAGAGATCACCACACTGAGGACTCATCTCATGGCTGGGAAGAGCTGCATTCATCTCTCAGATGGGCTGTTTCTGAGGCACTGGTTGGTTAGTCCCATGAATCAGAAGGTGCTGCTGGAGACACTCCTCAGAATGACCCCTGTGACAAACAGGGACAGAGGTTGGACAGCCTCTCAGACACCCAGCAATGCAGGCAGAGCCCAGCTCTGCAGTCTGGGCCCTGGCCCCACAAACTGAGGGGTGCTCCTCTCTTGCTGACGGTGGGACTGGGGCTGGGCTCTGGGGGCAGGCTGACCCATGTCCCATCCCACACTGCTGCTGCCTGCCCCCAGCCTGCTGCGCAATGGGGAGCCAGAAAAGAGCCATGGAGCCTTGCCCAGCTCAAGGCACAAGGATGGAGTAGGGCAGGACATGAGCTCAGGGCTTTAGCAACCACCAGATCTGTCCCTGGCCAGAGCACTACAGAGCAGTGGGCAGAGCCCTGAAGTGCCTGTCCATGAGGTGCTCACCGTGTAGTGCTACAGAACAGGTCCAGCAGGAGATGAGGATCCAACAGTCTGTTCCAGAAGAGCAACAGGGTCAGGGAGCTGCAGAAATTCTCTGATCCTTGCTCAAGCAAAGCTTCCCTTCTGACAGGAAGCTCTGCATCTGCCCTCCCTCCTTCCTTCCCCACTGGGCTACACCTCCCCCTTTTCCTGCAGGGCCAAACATCTCCCAGGGGCTGGGCAGGGGATAAGGCAGACATATTGTCTGAGAGGGATGAGTTTGAAAGGATTCACTCCTCCATCTTTGAAAAGGAAGAGAATTGACCAAAACAGAAATGCTTAGTGAAGGATGATTTCCCAGATGATACGCATGAATGTCCCCAGGAGAAATGTGCTCTGTGCTGAAGGAGAAACAGTGGTCTGATAGCAGGTCTCATGCCCACAGGTGCCACTGTTTGCCTTCACTCTCTGTCCCTTTGCCCTTTCCAGATTTGTTCTCTCTCCAGCTCCAGTAAAAATAACAAAAGTCCTCCTCTTGCCTGAGGCCCAGAGTTCTTTCTCCTGGTCTGCCTTTTCCATTTGCTGCTGAACGTTCATGACCTAAGGGCAGGGAGAATCACCTGCAGCTCCTGCTACTTGTCCCAAGCTGACTAAAGCTAGAGCTCAGTCTGTTCTTTCCTGCCAGCCCTGGATAGAAATGCACAGGTGAACTGAGAAGCAAGCTAGCCTCTTCCCTGGAACACAGCAACTGCTGAGGCTCAACTATCAAATAGCAAGCTCTCCTGAAAGAGAACTCACTACTAGCACATGCCCAAATCCTTTCCTTCCAGCGCAACTACTCCTGTCCTCATCAAAGTACTGTTGGAGCCCTGCTCTCTTAAACCTCTGTTTACATTTTTCCTTTGTGAAGTGCCTCCACCTCATTGTTTTCTCTCAGCTCTCAAAGGTCATCCCTCAGGCACAAGTCAGTCCCAGAGTTCCAGGCCCACCCCAGAAGCTGCTTGTCTCTTCTTCTGTTCTGTTCAGAAATGTCTGGTCAATGGAGGTTGAGAGGAAACCAAATAAGTCGGCACCTGCCGCTGAACTCTGATGTTTGATACCTATAGTATGCATGTCTTGCAAGGAAGCCGGTGCCAAGGTGAAGGTGAATTTTCAGGCTTGGCACCTTTTCAGGTTCGGACAAAGGCTAATATTACCCCGCATAAATTTTGCCTCTCACTGATCATGTTTTCTCATGTGCATATTAATGCACCTATAGACTGTATACCCATCTGAGGAGTGGGTATGTATGGTGTGTTGAAACCTCATGTCATAGAACTCTAGAATTATAGAATGGTTTGGGTTGGAAAGGAAGGCAGGATTTTCTGTTAAAGGAAACCAATGCCAACATGGAGAAGCTTCGAAGGAAGTGCCTTTTGGTCATTCTGCCTACCACTAAGAGGCAGCTCCTATGGGCAAATACTTCTAGCTGCATCTTTTAGCCCATAACTCTCTGAGTGTGAACCTGCTCAAAGAAGCAAAAAGAATCAGTGCTTGCCCTTGTGAGAAAGAATAATGAGGAGAAGCTCCCTATGGGATGGAGTATGTAACATTCGCACCATGCAAAGACACTGCTGCAGAGTTCCTGGTGCTCTAGTGACAACCCAGGGATGCTTCAGGGCAGATCTCTGCTTCTGCAGCCTCTGTCACATGGCCCAGTTTGGTCTCGGGCTACCTCACTTGCAGGAGGGTCTTAAATAGCTGCTGGGGCAGCACCATGCTTGGAGGTAGAAAGGAACCAGAGTGCTGGGCACTATCTACAGGGAAATTAACTCAGAGTCAGCAGCCAGAGTGGAAAGGAAGGAATACAGTAGGATCTGGTTGCTG